TAAAGTCTTTAATGGATTAGTGAATAAAACCAACCCTGTTGTGATAGGCTGCTGAATCTRTTTCTATTACAACTTTTCCTTGTGGGGAAGATGGTTCATAGGGTTTTAGAGGCTGAAAGAGCAATGAAATAATGTGTATTCAACTAAAATGTTTGTTTGTTTGCCACACAGTAAACAAATCTGCCAGTTTGGGGAGTACTTGTGTGTGGAAGGGACTCGAGCAAGCCATGGAAAATGCAGGAAAAGGCAAGTGGGACATGAGGCCCAGAAATAGTGAAGGCTCAGAGCTTATTGCAGTTATTTTAGGGGAGCGCTCACAGGCCGACACACCAGTACCAGGCAGGRGGCTCTTGCAAAGGGCAGGGATGGAAGCTGGAAACTAGTGCGAGGTGAGGAACTGATGCACCTGGAGTGTCATCGGCTGTGGCGGCAGGCGCGGTACCAGCACCGAGTGTCGCTCGCCTGCACTGCTGTAAGTGAGAAGCCTGTACGAGGAGGCTGAACGAGGAACACGGCTCTAAGGTCAGATTGGGCAGCATCTTGCCATGCCCTGGGGTTTATTTGCTGTTCAGAATTTCAGTCTTCTCTGACAATTGTTTCTTGCTGCCACAAAACCAAGTACATCCTGCAGTGAAGCACAGCAATAACAAGATTTGAATGTCATTAGGGGCTGCTCCTACACATCTTGTATTAAAGCAGCTAAGTATTTAGCCCATGAATAGAGTTCCTATTATCTTTGCTTTTGAAACCTCAGCATAGATCACTTAACTGCTCTGCAAGGAATCCCATGAGATACCACAACAGCAGTGAAAAAGTAAGRCAAAAAGGGTTGTATCTGATAGAGCTTTTTCATATTTTTCATTAGAGCATGGAGTCATCTTGAATATTGTGCCTAATATAGATTGGCCTCAGTCAGATCTCTGCAGAGCAGAATCTTTTCTGAAAAGCTCTGCCAATTAAGCGCAGCACAGAGGAAAGACTAATGCACAAAAGGCAYAATACGTTTCCATCTTCATAACATGGGGCTTAAAAAAGACACCTTATAGATCCTGTTCACATTTTCGGTCTGTGCTCGGGTAAATCCAAATCTGAGATGAGAATCTGTTTAAGTTTATATATAATCTAATAAACTGTACTGTCAAAATGAAGGGGTCAGATTCCAGGCAAGAACTGTGGCTATTTGGGAAGGTTCAGCATAGGGTAGGGTCAGCCTGTCGTCTCATCAGCAGCTGTGCAAATCAGGAGAACTGGGGGGAGAGGTAATAAAGGTTTGATTTACCTCTATAAAACTGACTGAGAAGAAACCTAGAGCCCTTCATCTTGCTAACGAGGAAATTACCTTGTTCACTTAACTACATCTCACACACAAGAAATCATTACTAAMAAATACACAGTATGCTGACGTTTTACTTATATTTTAATGGTTGAAAAATACGTCTGATTGACAGCACTTCAAATAAATGTTTGTTTAGTCACAGAAAAATTGTATACAAAAACAGGTGGRAAAAAAAGTGTTCCTCTTCTCCCCACTCTGTCCCAGTGATGTCTTGAAGCAGCTACTTCCAAAAAGAAAGGGTAGTCGAATCCAGCTTCATCTTTGACATTCCCCTGCGACCGCAAACAGGTAACTGTGATGATGAACATTGTGTGCAAAGTGAGGCCAAGAGATCAAGGCCATGAAACTCAACCAGTCAATGCTACGAGCAGGACACCTGCAGTCATGCTTGTTTTCTTAGTGTATTTGCAACAATGTTTTAGCAACAGTTTTACAAATTAGTGTGGTACAGTCAGGCAAACTGGCTTGTGCCTGCAAAGATAAAATACGAGATAACAGTTAGTAATATTCTGCTTCCTAGTGCAGCAATAGTGCCTGAAAACAACGTTGACCTCGTGGCTATGCTGTCCCGGTGGTACATGCAGTAGCAGCTGCACATTAGAAGCCATTCCAGGACAAAGGAGAGCCCTATATTTTCACAGTCACTTTGCTGAGTATTTGGGCTGTATTCAATTAGAACTCCTATGATAAAATTTATTACATGGTTCAGTATCAATCAGAATTAATTTTTGTACGATAACTTAACATTTTGTTTGACCTCAAAGGTGGTTTGCATATTATATGCAAGTAACTTATAATACGAATTTCCTGGATAAGTTATTTTATACTATAATTTAGTGTCAAAGACTTAAGAGACAACAGGAGTATGTTTGAATAGTTTTATGCATAATCACTACAGGGTCTGCTTATTTATTCTGCTTTTTATGAATAATATTTAGTTTCTTTTCTAAACCTTCCCTGCCTTTCCTAAAGAGGTAATACTTATTAATGTCACTCCTGGGGAAAAGCATTGTAATTTAAAATCCAGCCCTTAATATGTATTCTGAGAGCTAAGGTATTTTATTCATAGAATGTTTGAATATTCAAAAATTTCTGTGCATTTTGCAGTAGATATTTGAGTAATTGTGCTGTAGCACATGCACTACACAGCTGTAGAGGGTGATGACAGGTAGTGCCTTGTATGAGTTCTCATATGGAGAGTGAGTGTCTGCTGTGCATGGTGCCAGTGCCACAGCCGCCGCGTGGCCTCCTGTGACAGACTGTTCTACAGGCACACAAGCTGCCAGGCATGAGCCAAGCCTGCAGCTTCATGAAAGAAGGGTGGAAGAAGCCACTCGTTTCAGCACTGATTTGTTGTGGTAGGAACACGTGTTATTCAGAAGGTAGAAGAGCAAACATACAAATACCTTCATCTTACCAGGCAGGCCCAAAAGAAGGAAAAGCTTCAGGACTTGGCAGCCTGTGTAAACACTTTCTCAGTGAGATCCCTGAGAAGAAGCAACCACTGTCTGCAGTGGCTCTTGCTGAAAAGTCATTGGATCCACAGTGTCTCTTATGCGAAGTAAACACCAAGTTTCAAAATGGATGGCTCCTGATGGGCATTGAAACACATGTAAAGATGGTTACAAAACTGAGTGATATAATGCGACATAATGTGGTTGTCTTTGTAGGTAGGTGATTCATGCAGCTGCAGGCACGCCAACCAGAAACAAACCACTGATTACATGTGTGCCTAAGTGGCCACTACTTAAGCATAATGGCAGGCACAGCTTAAGCGTTATGAGCAGCTATCTCCACTGTGTTGTGTTGTCTTTACATGGCTCTAAAATCACAGGCCGCTGTTTTTGATGGAGCTGTTGATGTRCGTAGATTGGTTTACTAGCCCTTCTTTACTCACCATCCTTGAATTCCTCAAAGCAGAAATATTTCAAGCCAGAATTGTACAAATGTAGATTATTTTCTAGGTACTCTGCTGTCTGTTACTACAAAGCTGCTGGTTAGTTAGCTCACTCATGGGACTCTTCCTCTGGCTCCTCAGTCTCCATAGGGCTTCAAAAACCTGTCTCCAAGCCTTGCAAAAATGTGAATTTGTTCCCTAGAGGAACATGTTTACTTTTAGTGAATCTCMCAGCTCCTGCTGCTATTTGCGGAGTTTATTTCTTGCAATGGAAGATACGAGCCAGAGGTAAAAGCAAGTTCCTGAAACACTAAAACCAAGAGTTAATTCTCAAAGAKGCCAAAGGTCTGATATGAGCCACAATCGTCCATCCAGCATGTTGCTTTCAGGGAGGTGGTCAAGCGGCACAAGCACATCCCCCTGCTCGCAGAGGACACACAAGGCACTCCTGCCAACACCGCAAGTCCTGGCCTTGACCTGCAGTCAGAAACAGTTTCCCTGCTTCCTGCAGTAAAAAGAGCTATTAAATCAATTACCACAATTATCCCTCTTTATAAAGAACAGTTGTACTATTTTACTAGATACATTTTTGTAGTGAGTTTTAAGCTGGATGAACTTGTATCATTTTAGAAGTTTAAGAATAAGACTATAAAAATATTACTTTTTCAGTTTTAGACAAAAAGAGAGTTATACTCTTTTTCCTAAAAAAATCCTAATTATTGTTTCTGTAGCAAATTACAGTGATGTCAAGGTAAGAGATTAGACACAAGGAGAATGGTGCAGGTAAGTACTGAAGAAAAGCTCTACCCATAACTTTGCATTGGTATTTCATTAAAATAAATATAGTCTGAAAATCTCCCTAACAGTGTTTTGAAAAACTGAAGTCTTTTTTTTTTTTTTTTTTTGCAAGCAGAAATTCCAGTATCATTCTATATGTGAAAGCCCCCCTTCCTTCCTTTAAGTGTTCTTGCCTTCTTTGCTTTTGATTTTCCTTTTTCAGGTGCCACCTGTCATTTAGATGCACGTGCATGTGTGTGCGCGCACACATGCACACACACGTGTGCATTTCACACACGTGCACAAACACACACACACACACACACACACCCATCCCTAGAAGGACTGAGAATGAAAGCTCGAGCTCAAGTCTCCCTTCCTATCTGCATCCAAACAAGGTGCCATTTGCAACAGTCAGGGGCTGGTTCAACGTAGCTAATCCAAAGTAGGTCACCTTCAAGAGTCTTTCAGGCTTCTCAACTCAGTAACGCGCAARGATAATAACACAACTTCTAGTTAATGATGGAACATCAGAAAAAAAGAATTGCAGGAAGCTGTGAACTGCAATATCTCCTTGTTTAAGATAGAAAGCCACATGGCAAGAACAGATGGGCAATCCTTCCATGATTATCCTGGGCCACTGGCTGAAATAAAAAGCTGTCACAACACAGAGGGCTGTATATAAAGTACATATACATGACATTTCTCCTTGCTGGTAGTARAAAGTTTACATGATAAAAGACTTTACAGAAAAAGGGAGACCTTAACGTGATGGTGAAAGGAGTAATTTTTTCATTTTTTATCCTTCAGTTCTCTAACATGAGGCATATGCTAAGGTYCTGAACAACTTTTTTTTTCTCAGAAAGGAGGAGGAATTTATATTGCATGATTTATATAAAGTGAACCTGGAAAAGTAGTTACTTAGATTTGACTATATTGAACCAGAAGTGAAAATAAGAATGATTTATATTGCTACTTTATAAATATTGTTTCCAGAATTAAATGCTGGGATTTAAAATCTGACTTGTGCATTTACAGTGACAGTAACTTTTGAATATACAGAGACGCAGTCTGTGTTTGCAAACAGGACAAAACCACAGAGGATTAAGACTGGCTTGGCAGCTGTATAAAAACATCAAAACGAGAGATGTCCCTTGCATACCCATCTCCATTGACCTCCAGGTGAGTTCTGTCCAAGTATACTAACTGGCCTGTTAACTCGTTCTGAAAAGAGCTAAATGTAAAATGGAATCTAGGGGCATGGGGTTTTTTATGAAAAGAAGATACAGAATAATAAATATTCTTGATACAATAGACCTGAATGGCCAAGAATGTAGATGGAAACCATTAATATAAAAGGAGAATGTAAAAGAAGTTAATAACAGWGCTGTAGTTCTTTTTTCCAATAAAATCAAGATATGTTTCCCTTTCTTCTAGAGTTCTGGAACATGCTGGGATTTCCTCCCCGCCCCCAGCCCCRTGTTCTTTTTAAAGAAAGGAAGCAATGAATTGGACGCGTTGCAGAGCAGACACTGAACTCTAGTCTGGGAAGGGGAAATCTTTATCAAGCTCTTAGAGAAGCTTCTTAACCTCTTTCATTCTTTCAGATCTGACATGTAGAGCCTGGAGACTGCCCACTTTTCTGGGAGAAGGTATGTCCTCCATTTGCGGAATATTTCACTAACATGATTAGGGCTGCTATATTGTTCCTGTTAGCAACAAAGTCTAGAAAAAAAATGAATTTGTCATTGAAAGGGAGAATTACCTCTTTTCAGGAAGATACCTCTGCTCTACCACTGTTGCAGACTAGGTATAAAAACCTGCCCACGGTCTATTTTGAATCTTTTCTATTCCTAAGAGGAAAAGGAGCTAAGATTTTTTGAAATTCTAGGAATACACAGATTTGGTAAGTGTTTGGGATTCTTCACTGATCTTCTTTTAAGAATATTGGATACCTGAGTATACTAGGTATCTATTCTTAGAAAAATCAATGAATTCCCAGGTAGCTTTTCCCCTAAAAACTCACCATGATGAAATATATCTGAAACCTAAATTTTGATGCAATGGGGTTGATGCAATGGGATTGTTTCTAAGAGAAATGCAAATTTTTAATCTGAAATAACTGTCTTTGTCTTTTACTGATTACAGAATGTGCTTCGAAATCATCTATGAGTCAGCCTGCGAGTTGGAGTTCAGATAAGCCTGTAGCGTTTGTTCACCAGATGGACTCTAAGCTCTTCAGAGTACAGGAAAGGATATTGCTTATTAACATTGCTTGAAACTTCATTTATTTYCTTGTACAAAGTCTGATTACTGCATTCAATTTTAGACTATCTGTTGTAAGGAGGAAGGACAGAGTATTTTTATAGCATRATAGGTACAGTTTAGTAAAAATTTTACTGGAATAGACTTTTTCATATAATTCTAGGTAGCCAAGATTGATACCTACCACCCCTCAGATACACCCTTTAGATTATCTATGCAAAGGGTTAAAAGCCAATTTTCTTTCAGGATTTTACAGCAAATTAGCCAACTTATATTAGGTTTAAAACACCTCTTTGACAGTTAAGTGCAACAATAATAATGCTTTTCTATTAAATATCAAATTGTTTTTTTCTCTCGTATACTTGGGCTAGCTGCTAATAGTCTCACATAACATGGACATCAGAGATTTTCAGACAAGTAATTCTCCCTTGTGTTGCCAGATTAAATCTTTCTTGATGCAACACAGATCACTCAAGCTGCCATCATTCATGAACGTGATAATCAGAAAAAATCAATTTTATGGTTGTCACTTTTATAATGTCATTTCTGATTTTTGTTCTGGTTAAGACTTAGGCTTTTGATTTTTGATTTTTTTGTGATTTTCCTTTCTTCATTTTCAGTTTCTCATGGCGCTCAGTCCTGCCCTTTTTGCTTCCTTGTCTGAATCATTTTAGCATAGGAAAAATAATTAGATAAATTATACTTCTCCTGATTTCAGTTTGGCTGTTTTCTTTAGCAGCAGGGGATGTTATGAGCAGTTAGCGGTTACTGGTCACAACATGGTTTTGAAAAATGGGTGCCAAAGGAAGACAGTCACTTCAAAATTCTGTATACAACTTATTCTGTATTCTCTTTTTTGGGGATATTTTTGGGGATATTTTATGGAATATCTTCTGGAAGGGACAGGCCGAGGGGCTGGAGCCTCCTCGATTCCTTGGGACATGCCCAGGCCAGCCCCGCTCTGCACAAGGCCGAGGCCGCAAGCGCCAGGCCTGCAGCCGGGCAGCTGCTCTGGCGGCTCCCCAAGGCCACAGACCTCCATCAAAACCCAGGGGCACCGACAGGGCTGCCACCCAGAAAAAGGAGCAGGCCTCAGCACTGCGTGGCCTGTGCTGAGTCAGCACATTTTGATCTGTGCTCATGGGCATCCCATCCTCTCACCCGCCCTATGTGCCACCTTCTCCCTTCCAAGCTCTACGTGACCCCTGTAAGCGCAGGGCAGGGAAGGATGTTGGCAAGGAGGGAGTTTGCTCCTTTCCCACCGCACTCGCGTTTGCCTCTGGCCACAAGTGTCACACACCGAGGTCCCACCCCTATGCAGGGCTAGTGGTGTGCAGAGGACTTGGGTCTTTATGGCCTGTAAATTGTTGTGGTTTGCATGCAAATCTCTCTGCACAGGTATTCAGTAGGGCACACATAAGACTAAATGTGCAGAGTTATTCCTCACTGACTTAAATTATATGCAGATATTATGAAAATTCACATTTGCATGTGTAGTTAAAAATTAGAGGATGCTTTCCAGTAGGTTGTAAAAATTTTAAAGAACAATGGATCAAAATTTGGTCATAATTACTGCCACATTCCTCTTGTAAAATGCAGTATTGCCCTGTGCTAAAATGTTGCCGGGCTTTCTGTGGTTTTATCATCATATAATGTGACCTTCACTGGTGAGTTTGTGAGGTAGAGATTAAGAAGAAGGGATATTGCACTGGATTTAAAAAAAGAAAAAAAAAAAAGAAAAAGGTATTGGTAGTAGGAAAGAAGGAAAAAAAAAAGAGGAAAGAAAAAGAAATATTGAGAGGCTGTGCAGGACTTCTTGGGGGCAGGGAGGCAGATGAGCCCCAGCTAATCTGAAAGAATTTGTAAACCTAAGAGCAAAGGAGCTTCTGTTAAAAACCCACTGGGAATGTGAAGCTGCTGAGGACCATCTTGAAGCAAGCAGTGGAGGCACTGGAAAATCCTCTTGCTGCCAGGAGTTAGGCAGCAGCTTACCCCTTCACAGTACACACAGCATCCTACAGAAACACAGGAAAAGCTCTGTGTTCAAATATTTTTACTTAAATTGTGTAAACATTCACTGGAATCTTTCTTTTAGATGCTGAACATGTGTGTTCAGCAAATAGCTGAATTTTGGTTTTTAGCAATTTTATGCCATCATTTTGAATGGTGTTTCCCATTTCATGAAGGGATAATGTGATCGGGAGCAGGCCTCGAGGTCTACAACCATTCGGATCTATGGTTGGTTCAGATCTACTGGACTGCTCAGATCTACTGGACTGTGCAGCTCTATTCCTGGTCACCCAAGTAAGCTTCTCGTGGATCCTTTTAGGGCCTAAGTTCTACATGTGGGGGTTGACAGTATGGGGCAGGAGAGTCTGTGAACTTTTCATGTCTGAAATCATACCTTGGTTGTTTTTTCTGACAATACAGTTTATCCCTGAGGCCTCAAAAATAATGTGTTAAGAACAGATTATTCCTAAAACTGATCCTTCTTTCAGATCATAAGATTATGGTTAACAGTTAATTGTAACATGAGAAAGTCTATTTGTCCAGCTGTACGCAGCTTTGGAAAGCAAAGTATTTAAACAATCCTCCTTATCTCTAATCTGCCTGTATTTCAGCAGCTTTTGTAGCACTGCAACAAAAGATACATCTGAGTAAATTATGTTGTATCAGAAGAATATTCCCTTAATACCTCTGAATCCTACAGTTTTTTATATTATTCTTCAAATCAGAAAGTAAAGTACTTGCAAGTGGAAACAAAATACTACTAACCTGCAAGTTCCACTTGGCTATCATTAGAAAGAGGAATTGTCTCAATCAGAAGATATATTTTTTGTCATTGTTGATTTGTCTTGTGAAGTGGAATTGGGTTTAAGAAAAGAGGCATTGTGCAGGCAGATTAAAAAACTCCCTACTTCACTGCTATCATTGGATAATGAGATCTTTCAGATTAAAAAGCCACTCCCGGTAGGGAAAAAAAACGGGAGCAGAAGTCACCCATTAAGAGCACGTTTTGAGGCAAGGGACAGGTAAGGACAGTCACCTCGCGCAGCAGGAGACCTCTCGGTCACAGGGCTGCGGGGTTTTGTACCACGGCCGCTCTCAGCCTGGTGCTGATCAGCCTTTTGCTGTCGTTGAACGTCCTTTAAGGAGCAGCCACCGAGGCTGTCCGGTGTTTGGTTCGGAAACCTCCCTGCACCGCTTTGCTAAGGAGCTGTGCGTGTGCTTGGTGTGCCAGGCTGCTGAGCCGTGTTTGATGTGACCTTGTGCAGGGCTGTGCTTTACTGGTGAGCACACAGCACGCGCGCGAGGTGTTTAGCTCTTCTCAGGGCGCCACTGAGGGAAGGTCACGTTCGGGMCCATTTTGATTCTAAAAATCATTGAAATCGCCTTTCTGGAGCATCCGCCAGGCAGCAGCGAAACGCGGGGGCTGYGCTCACCAGCGGCTGCTGTGGCGCCAGGCTGCTCAGCGCGGCCCCAACCGGCCGCGTCTGTTAACGGAAAAAAAAAATTAAAAAATGGCAAATAACGGCGGCGAGAGCGCGACGTGCGGGGGAGGGGAGCGCGCGGGCCGCGCGGCGGCAGGTGCGGCGCCCTGGCCGCCTTCCCTCAGAAGG